TGACTGTTTTCGGCCGTTTTGGCCGAATAGGCCACACTCGCATTGGTCCTTGTCAGAAACAACCCTAGGGCCCTCGGGGGGCCAAAAAATCACGGAAAAACGGAGCTTACCGGCGGCGGCGCTCTCGGGTACGGCGACTCTCCGGCGAAGTTTGTGTTTTGGTGATTTGGCTTCGGTCAACCTGTAGAGAAAAGAATGGTGATCACGGTGATATAAAAATTGCATCGAACGGAGGCCGGGAAGGGCCTCGTCGGAGGCAAAAACCGAGAGGGGGCGCGGCGGTGCCGCTGGGCTTCGGCCGCGTATTCCGGCCGTTTGGCCGGGATTTCGGCTTCGATTTGGCCATAGGAGGAATCAGTGGGGAAAAACGAGTCGGGGGTATGAAATTTACCTCGATCGGCGGTCGGAAATTTCCCCGGTGCGGCGGCGAGTGGCGGCGGGTGGCGGCGGTCGGCCTCTGGTTCGTCTTCTCCGGCGAGCGGCTGGCGGCTAGGGTTTGTGGTCTGGTGTGGAGGTTCTATTTATAACCCCTTGCCTTTTGATCACAGCCGTTCATTTTGTTTTAATCTGGGCCGTTCGTTTTTGATTGAATCTGGGCCGTCCGTGCGATTGAATCTGGGCCGTCCGATCGCGTGATTGATCTGGGCCGTCGGATCGCACCCACGCGGATCGCCAGCGTGGCTCCTTTTGGAGTGACGCGGTCTTGCCACGTGGCAGGCCCTGGTTGGCCGGGACTGCTGACCGGGCCTGCTGACGTGGCTGCTGACGTGGCCGCCCTTTTTTTTTTTTTTTTTTTTTTTTTTCTCCTCCTTTCCGGGGGCTACAAAATTAGCTTAAAATTCTGAAACTCTGCCGATGGGTTGCTCAAATTCTAAAACATGGGGTATGTTACAGGTGACAGTGAGTTAAAGAAATACATAATGACAGAGGCTCATATCTCAAAGTTTGTTATGCATCTCGAAAGCATTAAAATGTACCAAAGTATGCGACTCTGATTTTGGTGGAACGAAATGAATATTATTTTAAATATTTTTCAAGTATTCATAAAATTCATCAATCAAATTAATTTTTTTATTGTACTATTAATCAAAGCATAGTAAATTATCAGCATATATCAATTACAAAAAAAAAAAAAAAAAAAAAAACCCTAAAAATAAAAAAAACTAATCTGTACAAAATTTGGATTTATTCACATAATTTTCTGGCGTAATTGATGGCTCCAAAAATTTCCCAAAAAAAGGAAAAAAGCCTTGTGGTGGCTACCAAATTCATATATATATATATATATATATATATGTGTGTGTGCTAAACTATACAGAAAATTCATCATTCAAAAACCCTAAGAAGTCAAACAATAAATTGAAAAATTATTTAAAAAACAATAAATTGAAAAATAAAAGAGGAAGAAGAAAAAGAAAAAAATTTCTAAACCAAAAAGGTTGAATTCCCTACGATGAACATGAAGAAAAAGAAACAACCCTTTTATTAGGCAAGAGAAATGAAAAGCAATTTGCATAATTTGCAGCAAAAAAGATGATCTACACCCGACGAAGAGAAACCATTGAATGCCCGTCAACAAAAAACTGATAAATTCACCAACCCAAATTGATATTTTCAATTCTATAATTATATATATATATATATGCACAAACACATATATTATCCCTTCATTTATGAAGCTCAACTCCTGACAGACCCAACAAGCAAAGCTGTAAACTTTGCTCCCCTGTTATAATTTTCCTTGTAGCCTTCCCTTCCTTCCTCTCTTCTCCCTCTTCCCTTTGTTTTCTTCTCTGTAATTGTTGATTAAGAAAGAAAACAGTTCATGAAGCTAGAAAACAGTGAAGGGTTTCATGCTGTGATGAATTTTGCTTCTTCCCTTGGCTTATTGTTTCTTTTGTTTTGTCGGTTTTCATAAACCTGCAAAGCAAAGACAAGGTTTGTTCACATTCTCTTCTTGAAACGCTGGGCTCTTCTCAGTCCTCAAATCAAACCCACCCATTTTTTATCCGAACTCCACTGTTCAAATTTTGAGGGATTCTTTTGGGTATTATAATTTTTTCTGTAATGGGTGTTTTGATATGGTGGTGGATTTGGTAATGGTGTTGCAGAAGTTGGAGTAGGAGTGTGTTAGATTGAAATAGTTGGTGGTGGGATTGGGGGTGGGGTTCTCAACTTTTTGCAGCTTCTAGAGCTTCTTTTTGCAGCTTTTCTCAAATGGGTTTTCATTTTTTTGGTTCTGTATTGATTCTCTCACTGGTTTTCAAGCATTTTGCTTGTCAACAACCCAACACAGATGAGTTCTATGTCTCTGAGTTTTTGAAGAACATGAGCTTAAACTCCTCTCAAGCTTACAACTTTTCAGCCCCTTTCTGTTCATGGCAAGGATTATTCTGTGATGCCAAAAAAGAGCATGTCATTGAGTTAATGGTTTCTGGTTTAGGTCTCTCCGGTTCAATTCCTGATACTACCATTGGCAAACTAAGCAAGGTCCAATCTTTGGATCTTAGCAACAACAAAATCACTGCTTTACCCTCTGATTTTTGGAGTCTAGGTTCACTAAAAAGTCTCAATCTTTCTTCCAATCACTTATCTGGGTCTCTGCCTAGCAACATTGGCAACTTTGGCCTGCTCGAATCCATCGATCTCTCTGGTAATGATTTCTCTGGAGAAATCCCTGCAGCTATAAGCTCTCTTGTGAGCTTAAGATTTCTTAAGCTCGACAGAAATGGGTTTCAGTGGAGTATCCCATCAGGAATTCTAAATTGTCAATCTTTGGTGTTGATGGATCTTTCTTCAAATAAGCTAAATGGGTCTTTGCCAGATGGTTTTGGTGGTGCACTTCCCAAGCTCAAGACTTTGAATCTTGCAGGAAACAGGATTTCTGGCCGGGATGCAGATTTTGCTGATATGAAATCCATTACTAGCCTTAACATTTCAGATAACTTGTTTCAGGGTTCAGTAATGGGTGTGTTCCAGGAGAAGTTAGAGGTGATTGACCTGAGAAGGAACCAATTTGAGGGTCATATTTCTCAGGTACAATTCAATTCTACCTATAATTGGTCTCGTTTGGTTTATCTAGACTTGTCTGAGAATCACCTTAGTGGAGAAATCTTTCATAATTTGAATTCAGCCCAGAATCTTAAACACCTTAATCTTGCATGCAATAGATTTAGCAGACAAGAATTCCCAAGAATCCAAGTACTTTCTCGTTTAGAATATCTTAATTTGTCTAGGACTGGTTTGTACGATCAAATTCCTAGTGAAATCTCTCGACTGGGTAATCTGAAAACACTTGATCTTTCCATAAACCATCTCAATGGAAGAATCCCATTTCTGAATGTCAAAAACCTCCAAACCCTTGATGTTTCAAACAACAATTTGAGTGGAGAAATCCCAGTTTCTATCTTACAGAAGCTGCCCTGGATGGAGAAGTTCAACTTCTCCCACAACAACTTGACCCTCTGTGCTTCAGGAATCTCTGCTGAAACACTGGAAAAATCCTTCTTTGGAGCGTTAAATAGCTGCCCTATAGCTGCCAACCCTAGTCTCTTTCAGAAAAGAATCACTAGAGACAAGGGTCTTAAGCTTGCTTTGGCTTTAACTTTCTCAATGATCTGTTTGCTCGCGGCTTTGCTATTTCTAGCAGTTGGTTGTAGACGAAAATCCAAAAGGTGGGCAGTGAAGCAAACATCATATAAAGAAGAACAAAATATCTCTGGCCCTTTCTCATTCCAAACTGATTCCACCACATGGGTGGCTGATGTCAAACAAGCTGTATTGGTTCCTGTAGTAATTTTTGAGAAGCCATTGCTGAATATCACCTTTGCTGACCTCTTATCTGCAACTTCGAATTTTGATCGAGGAACCCTTTTGGCTGAAGGAAAATTCGGGCCTGTTTACCGAGGATTTCTGCCTGGTGGAATTCATGTGGCTGTAAAAGTTTTGGTCCACGGATCAACATTGACAGAACAGGAAGCTGCAAGAGAACTTGAGTACCTAGGCCGGATCAAACACCCTAATCTTGTTCCACTTACTGGATATTGCTTAGCTGGTGATCAAAGGATTGCCATCTATGATTACATGGAAAATGGTAACTTGCAGAATCTGCTTCATGATTTGCCACTTGGGGTACAAACAACGGATGATTGGAGCACAGATACATGGGAAGAAGATGAAACTAATGGGATTCAAAATGTTGGCTCTGAGGGACTGTTAACAACATGGAGATTTAGACACAAGATAGCTCTGGGAACTGCACGAGCATTGGCATTTCTTCACCATGGCTGCTCACCTCCAATAATTCACAGAGATGTCAAAGCTAGCAGTGTTTATCTTGATCTGAATTTGGAACCTAGATTATCCGATTTTGGGTTGGCTAAGATTTTTGGAAACGGTTTGGATGAAGAGATTGCTCGTGGGTCACCTGGCTATATGCCACCAGAGTTTTCTCAGCCCGAGTTTGACTCTCCAACACCAAAATCGGATGTCTATTGCTTTGGTGTAGTTCTATTTGAGCTAATTACTGGGAAAAAACCGATTGGAGATGAATACCCAGAGGAGAAAGATGCAAACTTGGTAAGTTGGGTTAGAGGATTGGCAAGAAAGAATCAAATTTCAAGAGCTATTGACCCAAAAATTCGTGACACAGGACCAGAAGGCCAGATGGAAGAGGCCCTCAAGATTGGCTACCTATGCACAGCTGATCTTCCATCGAAGCGACCAACTATGCAACAAATAGTTGGTCTTCTTAAAGATATTGAACCAAAACCTCATCAATGAAGAACATAGCGAAAATGATCAATACAAGTTTCTTTCTCTATCTTTTTATTTGGTCTGCTAATCTCTCATCTCTCTCTGTTTGGAGTTTTTTCTCTGATGTTTTTCTTGCTTTTTCTTTGGGGGTTGAAAGGAGGAGAGATGTATAGTAGTCCTGAAATCATGCTTTCAAATTTGATGCCTTGGTTTTTTAAAATTTTCTGATGGCATAACAAGTTCATTTTTTCTCTGTATCTTCCCATGCCAATTTTATCAGTTTTCTCATCCTTTCTAGGAATCTTAGATGCCCCCAACTCAATTTTTCTACTTTTACATATGTTAATCTTCTCCGGACAAGTATGAAAACCCGTAAGGGTTTATACATTTATTAGGTTTCGAGATGGAATTTTGACAAAATATCATAGTTGTTTTATATCTATCTCATAATTTAATTCTGTCTGGTGTGTTCTCTCTGTCCTTATATATATATATATGCGTGTATGTGTTGTAATAATCTGTGTTACAGTGGGAGAAATGAATAGAAGTATATATTTTGGTTAAAGGAAGAAGGTAGGGAGAAAGAGAAGGGTGAATGGTAACAAAATTTGATGAGTTGTTTATGAATGGCGTGTGATTGAGGGAAGCATGTTGTAGACATTGTGGGTAGTTGAGTTAGAGCAGCCATGAATATGAAAGCTTCTGCTGAAAACCCTGGACCACCGCATGACATCCAGGACCATTTATGGAGCAAATGTGGTTTATTGCAGACAAATATATACACACACACACACACACATCATATACATATGATATCATATTTGCAGTAGTATCAATTATAAATTAATATTTTAAAATAACTTTTTATTTAATTTTATTAGTTATTGAACTTAAATTTGAAAAACCTAAGATGTTTATAGGGAAAAATTCTCCCTCATGGGCAAAAATTTCTTTTCCCTCTTACCCATAAGGGAGAAATGCAATAGAAGATTTGTTACTTTAAAAAAATTAAGAAACACCCAACACTATTTAACTTTTTTCTTTTGTTTTTTCTTCCCACTTCATATAGATTGGCAGAGAATCTAGACAAACATCCAAATTATTTATAACTCTATATATATATATATATATATATGTATATATGTATGTATGTATGTATGTATGTATGTGTGTGTGTGTGTGTGAGAATTCCTAGCCCATATTGTGGAATATGTGCACAGAGAATTTCCATAAAAAGAAACAGACTTCAAGAAAACACCAAACCCTTGACTTCAAAGCTATTTTTGGCAAATTGCCTTTTGGAGAGACAGAAAAGCCAGAGGATATATAATATATTTCAAAAAAAAATACCCACACCGAATGCCAATAAGCTAATGCTCTCGAGTTTGAATTGAACTCGGTGTCATCATATCAGCACTAATGTATCAAATTTTATTATAATTTTATAATTAAACGTACTCAGACGATAATAATATTATAATTAGTGGGCTCCGGAAAAATTTTTATGTTGTACTTAATTTTTAATTATTTTTATAAATTTAAATTGAATTATATTGTCTATGTCTATAAAGTTGATTGTGATATTATATAAGTGATATTTAATTAATAACATATATATATATATATATACTCAAAAGTATATTTCCAACATATTTAAATAGATAAATAGAATAACAATCACACATATCAAACCACAATAAAAAATAATAATATAAAATATAGTTAAATAATAATTAAATATAATTAAAAAAAATTCATTCTATATATATAATATAACGAAAATGTATATGGGCTTTTCTTAATTTAAAACAAGAAGGTGTATTGAGACATATGGTTTCAATGTTTATGGGCTTTTTTGCCTTCGACTCAAAGGAGGCAAAATGGACCATGCCCTAAGTTAATAAATGGTCCAATTTGATTTTGGGACTTACTATATTTATATATATATATATAACATATATATATTTCTTGAGAAAATATATAATATATATTTGAGAAAATTAACCTATGCTAGTTGAAGTAGCTCGAAAATGGATATACTCACAATTCACAATAATTTTCATACTTTTATTTCTATATAAAAATTATAGATTCGAATTAAATTGTACTTTAATGTATAATTCACAATTTATAATAATGTATATATTTTCGATGTAAGATTAAAATATTTCAATTTAACACGAGCTTTAATTATTATTATTACTCAAAAATTTAATTTTAAATTATTATTAATATGATACATGAATTTATTTATATAAATTTTAATAATAACATTTTTTTATATGAGATTAAGATATTATAATTTGACTTGGGCTTTAATTATGACTAATGGTTAAATTTAAGTTTAAATTATTGATAGTATGATATTTGAATTTTTATATAAATTTCAATAATCACATATTTTCTGATGTAAGGTTGAAATATTATAATATGACACATACTTTGTAATACCCTTAATTTATTTTAACATAATTAAAATTAAATGTATAAATTTTTTTTATTTAATATAATAATGAAAACAAATAAGTGAATGATGAAATTGAAAATAATTTTGAGAAAAATGGGTGAAAATTTAGATTTTGAATGTGTTTTTGAAAGAAAAACGGAAACTGATAGTCAAAACGTAATTTAAAAAATTTGTAGCACATAGGACGTCCAGTCAGCAATCCCGACGAACTAGAGGGTGTTGCGTGACAAGGTACGCTGACGCGGTGCCACGCAGGAGGCCATGTTGGCGATCCGCGTGTCTCCAATCGGACGGTCTAGATTTGTTCTCGCTCGCACAGACAGTCCAAATCTGCTATCCCTTTAAAATATGATCAGACGGTTCAGATCAAATTGCGATGAACGGTTCAGATCTACTTCTTATTTAAACGCGATCGGACGATCCAGATCAAATCGCGATGAACGGTTCAGATTCACTTATTATTTAAACGCGATCGGATGATTCAGATCAAACGTGATGGACGACCCAAATTAAAATGAGACGGATATAAATAAACCTCTTCACATCAAATCCTAACCCTAACTGCCAGATCCCTCCGTCGGAGAAGAAGAGCCAGTCGCTGGGAAAAGAGTCAATCGCCGTCTGCTGTCGTGCTAGAGCCACTTCTGACTGCCAAAATAGGTAAAAAAAATTTAATTCGCTCAAAATTCAATTCTGAACACCCCCATGGCCAAATTGAAGCAAAAGAATCGGCGGATGAGTCGAAAATTGGGGGGCAAAGCCCGACGGCACCGCCACAGAAAAAAAAAAAAATCGCATATGATGAGACCCTTTCTGATTTCCTTTTCATGTAATTTTTCTACTATTATAATCACCATTCATTTTTCTACAGGTTGACTGAAGTAAAACACTCAATCGTGAAAATAAGCCGGCGGAGCTGCCGTACCGAAAAACTTCGCCACTAGTAAGCTTCAGTTTTTCAACTTTTTTCGACCAACCGATGCCCCTTAACGTGTTTTCTCGCTGGAATAGATACAAAATTGCCCAAAATAGACCGAAAACGGCCAACCCGAAGTAAACCGCTGCCGTGGATGGTAGTGCCGTCGTTGGAACACGGCAGAACCAACATGCCAGAATTTTGAAATTGGCCAAAAAGAGTTTTAAAGACTGATTTTGGATTTTTTAGAATATGTTTAGATACTTAAAGTATGTTTTAATCCCCGAAAGAAAATTCAGAGAACTCCGGGGACCATCAGTAGGCACGATTTAAAGTTTAGCATATCAGACATCAATTTGCGTAAGAATCTCTTACCTTATTTTATGTTATGGAATTGAAGTTTAATTAATAATAATACGGTATTTTGTATAATTTAGAAAATATTCATAATTAATTACAGGTCACTGATAGAGACGAAATCAGTTAGTTATTACTGTTTGCCGTGTTTAGCTGATTGGTTGATTTTACAGTTTTTTGAATGCATGATAATATATTGGAATTGGTATGATGATGCGATTGTGTTTTCTTGATACATGTATTGATTGTTTTATATAATTACAGTTAAAGTGAAAAACTGAAAATTAAAAGTAAACAGAAAATTATTTGATTAAGTAAATAGATGAACGGTAACCTTATTGAATATCCTAGGAGATGGTAGACGGATCAGGTACATAAGGAACCCTACCGTGAACGTTTCATAATACCGGACAGGGTATCGAGGATTAGTATTTTGACGCTCATACTTGATGGGGTATGGGAACAGCCCGTTTCACCCTCATGTCGGACAGAGCATTGATGGATGGTATTTTGATGCTCATACCAGACAGGGTATGGGGACCGTCTGTTAATTGAAAATGTTAAAAAAAAAAAAGTTCACGTGTAGTGGAGACATCCCTATGAACCCCAATGGATACCAGTAGGCGAATAAAAGAGAAAGTCATTGTTGCCGACTGATTACATATGAGATTATAATATTATTTATGTTACTAACTCTATAGGTTAGTTTTGAAAATCTCGCTACGATAAGTATACAGTAAATGATTTTATTTATGATAAACGAATTTACTTAAATTAAAAGCTCCATTAGTTATTTTCATAATTTTTACTAATTTTCATTTCTGTGTCGGTAAGTAGCGTGATATTCTTACTGAGTCAGTGTAATTTACTATTTCATTAACCATTTCAGATCAAAATAATCAAAACTCAGAGCCCGATCCACAAGAGAGTTGCGAGTATGATGCCTAGTTGTTTATTATTTATTTATTTTTTTAATTTTTCGTTATTTTATATAAGAGGGTTATTCCCGTAACCCTATTGGATAATTTGAATTATTGTGTAAGGAGTGTAAATCTTAATTATTTATTTCACTTTCGCATTCAATTCATATTTATTTCCTTTCAAGTTCACGAGTCGTTACATACTTTGATACTACGAATCTAATAATTTTTAAATTAAAATAATTAGATATTAAAAAGTAAAATTAAAATTATTGATAGTATAATAATATTTAAATTTTATATAAAATTCAACAATTATATAAATAACTTATCATAATTTAAATTTATATTCTGAAAATTAGAACATAGGTTATGTTCTATGCATTCATGGCGGCCACTAGCTTCGGCATCAGATGCTCATCTGGAAATTGGGAGAATTTTGTTTCATGCACATATATATATATATATGTATTTAAAAAAAAAAATAAATTTGATATTATTTATTTATCATTTTCCAAAAAAGAAGAAGTTAATTTTTTTAAATAAAAAAATAATTAAAAAAGAACGGGAAAAAGTCAACATATGGATAAATAAAATGGATTTTGAGATATATTATTTACAAATAGCTGTATTTATTATTTTTCCTTTAAAAAGTATTGATTAATATATTATTTTAATTTATTGGCCGTCAGATCAAGAATCTAAGAGATCCAACGGTGAGGATTCGATCAAGCAACTAATCATGGCTAAGAACAAGTGTGGGTCCATCACATCAGAATAGAAGAAAGTTAGAAACCAACAAAAGGTGGGATTTTCTGGAGGAGCTAAACTAGAGATTACACAAGAAAGGCGTCTTCTTCTTCTTCTTCCTCTTCAGTCTACAGAGAGAAAATCCAGAGAGATGTCGGACGAGGAACATCACTTCGACTCGAAGGCCGATGCAGGAGCCTCCAAGACTTATCCTCAGCAAGCTGGAACCATCCGCAAGAATGGCTATATAGTTATCAAAGGCCGCGCTTGCAAGGTCTCATCTCCTCTTCTCCTTCTCTATCTGCGTATATATTTATAAATTTGTGTAAAGTATTGTTTTCTCTAGTCTGATTTTTCTCGATTGTTATCTCGTTTTTGTTTCTGTTTAAGTTTGTTTGCGTTGGATTTGTTGTTTAGCGAGCGTACCTTTTTTGGGATGACACTGTTGATTTTTTGGGTATGTGTAAAGATATCTCACTATGGTTTGATATCGTAATAATCGGAAAGCATATAAGTGTAGCTATATATATGTATATTTATATAAATATAGGTCTTCCCTAAATATGATACCGATTTGTTTGCTTAAAGTTCTAATTGATACACCGGCTTTCTCAAGTTTGGGAATCTTCTTTGGCTAAGCTCCTTCTGTTTCGAACGAGTATGAGCCCTATCCTGTGTTATGGAACGAATCTAGATTTTATGTGGAATTCATTTGGAAGTGTATAATTAGTTTAACTAGAAGGCCGGGAAATCTTGATTTTTTTAGGTTATGCAGGAAGATGGTGTTTGGTAGAACTTGCCTGTGACTTAACTCATTTAGCCTTGCAGGTGCAGGTTATCGACGCCAAAACGAGGAGATTGTAGAATTAGTTCTGTATATATATACCTAATTTATTTAAAATATTTTTTTAAAAAAATCTATTTAAACTCAGATCATTAAGTTGTCAGATTCCATGAGCTGCCCTCTTCGGTTAAAATTTGCTTCTGATATTTAATTGTGTGTTGTTTTTCTGTTTGTTTGCCTTTCTGATTAAGTAGCAGGCTCGATGCGAGCTTTTGCTGTTTTAACAGGTCTATGTCCTGATATGAACTAGTAGAAGTTCTAAACTTTTTAAAGTGAGTTTGTACCTGTATGTCCTCCACGGCCTTTAAATAACTATCTAATGTTGTTGATTAAAAGATTTGGCATGTAAGGATGTTGCTTGCATAACGCAAATGGGCATAGTAGATCACCTTTACAGGAAATAATGGGCACAACTTCTTTAAACGTTCTCAGTTTTGAGAAAAGCTATCCTGTGCCTATGGCCTCAGGTTTTTAATGTACCTGTGCAGCAACTCCTCTCTATCAGGATTCCACACTTGAAATTTTGTTTATCTCATGGCATGTGAGAATACTGTTATTGTAACCGCGATTCGTTATTGTTTCTTTACCAAGAGAAACCGTGATCCATTCTTGTGTGGCAGCGCAATCTCATTTCTTATGTTTGTACTATTTCTGGCTTGTTTCAGTTTCATGATCTTTAAATTTCTTGTGTTCTTTTTTCTCATAATGGGCAGGTTGTGGAAGTTTCAACTTCAAAAACTGGCAAGCACGGACATGCAAAGTGCCACTTTGTGGGTATTGATATATTCAATGGGAAGAAACTTGAAGATATTGTTCCTTCATCCCACAACTGTGATGTACTGCTCTTCCTTGATATATTATTTGTAGCCCTTTGCTGTCTTTCTCGTTAGGTTGGAGGCTCGGTGGTCTGGTTAATTGTTGCAGTGAATTTCTTGTTACTTTTGCAGGTCCCCCATGTCAATCGCACTGATTACCAGCTGATTGATATATCTGAGGATGGATTTGTAAGCTTCTGTATTCTGTTATCTAATACTATTTCTTTTAATATACATATGTTTTAGCTTCAGGGAAACTCTATCAAATTGTTTTACTGATTGTGTTAACCTTGATACTGTAATGATATAAATTGCTGTTTCAACAATTTACCAGTGTTTCTCCATCTTCTCTCTCTCTCTGGATAAAAGCATTTCTATCATGCTTTTATGTCCTCCAGCTTCATTGGCTATTCTGTTTTCTAATGTGAACAATGCATTTGTTTTTTTTAATTAAAATACTTTCTAGCCTGTTAAACCTCTTTTTTCCCTCTCATAAGGCAAGCTGCATTTAAAAAAAAAAAAAAAAAAAAATTTAGGCGACTCTGTCTTTCTCATGATCTATGAATTTCTTCTCAAGGTGATGATACATTGACCTGAACAAAAATATAAGAAATTTAAAGAATAAAGACATTTGTGGAACTAACTAGGTGATTTTTAGGTGAGTCTGTTGACTGATAATGGAAACACCAAGGATGATCTGAGGCTTCCCACCGATGACAATCTGCTTACCCAGGTATTACTCTAACTCTAAGAATCTTTTCTCCCTTAATATCTGAAGATGTTAATGGTACCTAAAATTATTATCGTTCTTTCCTGTAGATTAAAGATGGGTTTGCCGAAGGAAAGGATCTTGTGGTTTCTGTCATGTCTGCAATGGGAGAGGAGCAGATCTGTGCCCTTAAGGACATTGGCCCTAAGAATTAATCATGTTGCTCTAGCTTTACCTATAAAGCATTGGACTCCTTTTTTTTCCTTTCTATTTATGTTGCTGAGTTTTCTCTGCTTTGTTTGGGCAGCAAACTGATCTATAAAGCTCATATAGTAGCTCTTTAATCCTTGGAATTGTGGGCGTGATGGAATTTATTATATAAAATTAGATGATGATATTTTTATTTGATTTAGCAACACCCATCAACTTCTGGTTTTAGCCAGGGACGTTATGCTATTTTTACTCTAATTTAGGTCATCATAGACAGCATGAGAGTTTATTGTGCACCTTATGAGCAGATTGACTCGGATGATATTATTGAACAATCGATTTGCTATTTATAATTGCATTGTGCAAAGATGTATTCGGGATATGTCAGGACCGTAGAGGAAGAGAATTGGCTCAGACATGAAGCGCGAGAAGAACAGACAATTGCAGAGGAAATTCCAGGATTTCATCAAAGAAAAGGGGGTACTTTGACATTTCTTTTAGTTCGAATTTGTTATTCTGTCACTTGTACTCTTGTCGGCTTCCTAGAATCTTGTTAGACCTTGCTAGGGTTTTGGATTGCTGAGTAGAAACAGGGGAAGAATGGACGAAGAAACTAGCTTTTCCCTTTGGAG